CTGTGTATCTGTAATGATGACATGTTATTTACCTGTGTGATCCTGACACTGTGTATCTGTAATGATGACATGTTATTTACCTGTGTGATCCTGACACTGTGTATCTGTAATGATGACATGTTATTTACCTGTGTGATCCTGACACTGTGTATCTGTAATGATGACATGTTATTTACCTGTGTGATCCTGACACTGTGTATCTGTAATGATGACATGTTATTTACCTGTGTGATCCTGACACTGTGTATCTGTAATGATGTTATTTACCTGTGTGATCCTGACACTGTGTATCTGTAATGATGTTATATACCTGTGTGATCCTGACACTGTGTATCTGTAATGATGACATGTTATTTACCTGTGTGATCCTGACACTGTGTATCTGTAATGATGACATGTTATTTACCTGTGTGATCCTGACACTGTGTATCTGTAATGATGACATGTTATTTACCTGTGTGATCCTGACACTGTGTATCTGGAATGATGTAATTTACCTGTGTGATCCTGACACTGTGTATCTGTAATGATGTTATTTACCTGTGTGATCCTGACACTGTGTATCTGTAATGATGTTATTTACCTGTGTGATCCTGACACTGTGTATCTGTAATGATGACATGTTATTTACCTGTGTGATCCTGACACTGTGTATCTGTAATGATGACATGTTATTTACCTGTGTGATCCTGACACTGTGTATCTGTAATGATGACATGTTATTTACCTGTGTGATCCTGACACTGTGTATCTGTAATGATGACATGTTATTTACCTGTGTGATCCTGACACTGTGTATCTGTAATGATGACATGTTATTTACCTGTGTGATCCTGACACTGTGTATCTGTAATGATGACATGTTATTTACCTGTGTGATCCTGACACTGTGTATCTGTAATGATGTTATTTACCTGTGTGATCCTGACACTGTGTATCTATAATGATGTTATTTACCTGTGTGATCCTGACACTGTGTATCTGTAATGATGTTATTTACCTGTGTGATCCTGACACTGTGTATCTGTAATGATGTTATTTACCTGTGTGATCCTGACACTGTGTATCTGTAATGATGTTATTTACCTGTGTGATCCTGACACTGTGTATCTGTAATGATCCTGTGTGATCCTGACACTGTGTATCTGTGATCCTGACACTGTGTATCTGTAATGATGACATGTTATTTACCTGTGTGATCCTGACATCTGTGTATCTGTAATTATTTACCTGTGTGATGACACTGTGTATCTGTAATACCTGTGTGATCCTGACACTGTGTATCTGTAATGATGTTATTTACCTGTGACTGTGTATGTATTATTTACCTGTGTGATCCTGACACTGTGTATCTGTAATGATGTTATTTACCTGTGTGATCCTGTCACTGTGTATCTGTAATGATGACATGTTATTTACCTGTGTGATCCTGTGTGACCTGACTGGTGTATCTGTAATGATGTTATTTACCTCTGTGATCCTGACACTGTGTATCTGTAATGATGACATGTTATTTACCTGTGTGATCCTGACTGATTGAATATAATTCAACTTCCAACAGTAAGTCTTATAGAAACAGAAAACAGTACTACTATGTCAGTATCATTTGGTATATTCATCTTGGATGATCTTGACTATGCCATGTTGACCTATTTACAGAATTATCATTTTTTATCATAAAAATTTCTTACTTTTACTGTCAACATTCACCCAGATATGTTCATGTGCTTACTGAAAAGGTGTTCCACATTAATTAGGAACTTATCACAAAAGAACTTACTACTTATTGTTGACCCTGATAGTCATTGGTGAACCTATTTACTGTCAAAGTGTTGGGCCTTCTGTATTAGTGAACTAGTCACAGGTGAATCTACTTACTGTCAAAGTGTTGGCCTTGCTTACTGTCAAAGTGTTGGCCCTGCTGTATTAGTGAACTAGCCACAGGTGAATCTACTTACTGTCAAAGTGTTGGCCCTGCTTACTGTCAAAGTGTTGGCCCTGCTGTATTAGTGAATTAGTCACAGGTGAATCTACTTACTGTCAAAGTGTTGGCCCTGCTGTATTAGTGAACTAGTCACAGATGTTGGCCCTGCTGTATTAGTGAACTAGTCAAAGGTGTTGGCCTTGCTGTATTAGTGAATTAGTCACAGGTGAATCTACTTACTGTCAAAGTGTTGGCCTTGCTTACTGTCAAAGTGTTGGCCATGCGGTATTAGTGAATTAGTCACAGGTGAATCTACTTACTGTCAAAGTGTTGGCCCTGCTGTATTAGTGAATTAGTCACAGGTGAATCTACTAACTGTCAAAGTGTTGGCCTTGCTTACTGTCAAAGTGTTGGCCATGCTGTATTAGTGAATTAGTACTTGGTGAATCTACTTACTAGTGAATTAGTACTTGGTGAATCTACTAACTGTCAAAGTGTTGGCCCCGCTGTATTAGTGAATTAGTACTTGGTGAATCTACTTACTAGTGAACTAGTCACAGGTGAATCTACTTACTGTTAAAGTGTTGGCCCTGCTTACTGTCAAAGTGTTGGCCCTGCTGTATTAGTGAATTAGTCACAGGTGAATCTACTTACTGTCAAAGTGTTGGCCCTGCTGTATTAGTGAATTAGTCACAGGTGAATCTACTAACTGTCAAAGTGTTGGCCTTGCTTACTGTCAAAGTGTTGGCCATGCTGTATTAGTGAATTAGTACTTGGTGAATCTACTTACTAGTGAATTAGTACTTGGTGAATCTACTAACTGTCAAAGTGTTGGCCCTGCTGTATTAGTGAATTAGTACTTGGTGAATCTACTTACTAGTGAACTAGTCACAGGTGAATCTACTTACTGTCAAAGTGTTGGCCCTGCTTACTGTCAAAGTGTTGGCCCTGCTGTATTAGTGAATTAGTCACAGGTGAATCTACTTACTGTCAAAGTGTTGGCCCTGCTGTATTAGTGAACTAGTCACAGGTGTTGGCCCTGCTGTATTAGTAAATTAGTCACAGGTAAATCTACTTACTGTCAAAGTGTTGGCCCTGCTGTATTAGTGAACTAGTCACAGGTGTTGGCCCTGCTGTATTAGTGAACTAGTCAAAGGTGTTGGCCTTGCTGTATTAGTGAATTAGTCACAGGTGAATCTACTTACTGTCAAAGTGTTGGCCCTGCTTACTGTCAAAGTGTTGGCCATGCGGTATTAGTGAATTAGTCACAGGTGAATCTACTTACTGTCAAAGTGTTGGCCCTGCTGTATTAGTGAATTAGTCACAGGTGAATCTACTAACTGTCAAAGTGTTGGCCTTGCTTACTGTCAAAGTGTTGGCCATGCTGTATTAGTGAATTAGTACTTGGTGAATCTACTTACTAGTGAATTAGTACTTGGTGAATCTACTAACTGTCAAAGTGTTGGCCCTGCTGTATTAGTGAATTAGTACTTGGTGAATCTACTAACTGTCAAAGTGTTGGCCCTGCTGTATTAGTGAATTAGTACTTGGTGAATCTACTAACTGTCAAAGTGTTGGCCCTGCTTACTGTCAAAGTGGTGGCTCTGCTGTATTAGTGAACTAGTCACAGGTGAATCTACTTACTGTCAAAGTGTTGGCCTTGCTTACTGTCAAAGTGTTGGCCCTGCATTATTAGTGAACTAGTCACAGGTGAATCTACTTACTGTCAAAGTGTTGGCTCTGCTGTATTAGTGAACTAGTCACCGGTGAATCTACTTACTGTCAAAGTGTTGGCCCTTCCTTACTGTCAAAGTGTTGGCCCTGCTGTATTTGTGAACTAGTCACAGGTGAATCTAATTACTGTCAAAGTGTTGGCTCTGCTATATTAGTGAACTAGTCACAGGTGAATCTACTTACTGTCAAAGTGTTGGCCTTGCTTACTGTCAAAGTGTTGGCCCTGCTGTATTAATGAACTAGTCACAGGTGAATCTACTTACTGTCAAAGTGTTGGCCCTGCTGTATTTGTGAACTAGTCACAGGTGAATCTAATTACTGTCAAAGTGTTGGCCCTGCATTATTAGTGAACTAGTCACAGGTGAATCTACTTACTGTCAAAGTGTTGGCTGTGCTGTATTAGTGAACTAGTCACAGGTGTTGGCCCTGCTGTATTAGTAAATTAGTCACAGGTGAATCTACTTACTGTCAAATTGTTGGCCCTGCTGTATTAGTGAACTAGTCACAGGTGTTGGCCCTGCTGTATTAGTGAACTAGTCACAGGTGAATCTACTTACTGTCAAAGTGTTGGCCCTGCTGTATTAGTGAATTAGTCACAGGTGACTCTGCTTACTGTCAAAGTGTTGGCCCTGCTTACTGTCAAAGTGTTGGCCCTGCAGTATTAGTAAATTAGTCACAGGTGAATCTACTTACTGTCAAAGTGTTGGCTGTGCTGTATTAGTGAACTAGTCACAGGTGTTGGCCCTGCTGTATTAGTAAATTAGTCACAGGTGAATTTACTTACTGTCAAAGTGTTGGCCCTGCTGTATTAGTGAACTAGTCACAGGTGTTGCCCCTTCTGTATTAGTGCACTAGTCACAGGTGTTGGCCTTGCTGTATTAGTGAATTAGTCACAGGTGAATCTACTTACTGTCAAAGTGTTGGCCTTGCTTACTGTCAAAGTGTTGGCCATGCATCAGTAGTGAACTAGTAATTGGTGAATCTACTTACTGTCAAAGTGTTGGCCCTGCTGTATTTGTGAATTAGTCACAGGTGAATCTACTTACTGTCAAAGTGTTGGCCTTGCTTACTGTCAAAGTGTTGGCCATGCATTATTAGTGAACTAGTAATTGGTGAATCTATTTACTGTCAAAGTGTTGGCCCTGCATTATTAGTGAACTAGTCACATGTGAATCTACTTACTCTCAAAGTGTTGGCCCTGCTTACTGTCAAAGTGTTGGGTCTGCTGTATCAGTGAACTAGTCACAGGTGAATCTACTTACTGTCATTGTGTTGGCCTTGCTTACTGTCAAAGTGTTGGCCCTGCATTATTAGTGAACTAGTCATAGGTGAATCTACTTACTGTCAAAGTGTTGGCCCTGCTGCATTAGAAACTGTGAGCCTTGCTCCCACTGCCGTTCTAACAACTGATCCAAACTGGTTGGGAACTCACTACAACAGATCACAAAGTATTCTATTTAATCTATGTATGTTCAGCATGACAATCAAACTCAACATTACAATCAAAGTATACTGAAAGATTTGATTAAATATATGTAGTGTTCCTAAAAGCTATTCCAGTCAATAATAGAGGTGGAAGGTTTAAGACTGGGGCAGTCTATCTAGGGCTATTCCATAAGTTACTGATGGTAGTGGAAGGTTTATGACTGGGGCAGTCTATCTAGGGCTATTTCAGAAGTCACTGATGGTAGTGTAAGGTGTATAACTAGGGCAGTCTATCTAGGGCTATTTCAGACTAGGGCAGTCTATCTAGGGCTATTCCAGAAGTCACTGATGGTAGTGTAAGGTGTATGACTAGGGCAGTCTATCTAGGGCTATTCCAGAAGTCACTGATGGTAGTGTAAGGTGTATGACTGGGCAGTCTATTTAGGGCTATTCCAGAAGTCACTGATGGTAGTGTAAGGTGTATAACTAGGGCAGTCTATCTAGGGCTATTTCAGACTAGGGCAGTCTATCTAGGGCTATTCCATAAGTCGCTAATGGTAGTGAAAGGTTTATGACAGGGGCAGTCTATCTAGGGCTATTTCAGACTGGGGCAGTCTATCTAGGGCTATTCCAGAAGTCACTGATGGTAGTGTAAGGTGTATGACTAGGGCAGTCTATCTAGGGCTATTCCATAAGTCACATGGTAGTGTAAGGTGTATGACTAGGGCAGTCTATTTAGGGCTATTCCAGAAGTCACTGATGGTAGTGTAAGGTGTATGACTGGGGCAGTCTATCTAGGGCTATTTCAGACTGGGGCAGTCTATCTAGGGCTATTCCAGACTGGGGCAGACTGGGGCAATGTGTATCTATCTATGGTAGTCAAGGGCTATTCTATTCCTAGGGCTAGAAGTCACTGATGGTAGTGTAAGGTGTATGACTGGGGCAGTCTATCTAGGGCTATTCCAGAAGTCACTGATGGTAGTGTAAGGTGTATGACTGGGGCAGTCTATCTAGGGCTATTCCACTGGGGCAGTGTATGACTGGGGCAGTCTAGTATTCCACACTGATGGTAGTGTAAGGTGTATGACTAGGGCAGTCTATCTAGGGCTATTTCAGACTAGGGCTATTCTCATCAGTAGGGCTATTCCAGAAGTCACTGATGGTAGTGTAAGGTGTATGACTGGGACAGTCTATCTAGGGCTATTCCAGAAGTCACTGATGGTAGTGTAAGGTGTATGACTGGGGCAGTCTATCTAGGGCTATTCCAGAAGTCACTGATGGTAGTGTAAGGTGTATGACTAGGGCAGTCTATCTAGGGCTATTCCAGAAGTCACTGATGGTAGTGTAAGGTGTATGACTGGGGCAGTCTATCTAGGGCTATTCTAGGGCAGAAGTCACTGATGGTAGTGTAAGGTGTATGACTAGGGCAGTCTATCTAGGGCTATTCCAGAAGTCACTGATGGTAGTGTAAGGTGTATGACTAGGGCAGTCTATCTAGGGCTATTCCAGAAGTCACTGATGGTAGTGTAAGGTGTATGACTAGGGCAGTCTATCTAGGGCTATTCCAGAAGTCACTGATGGTAGTGTAAGGTGTATGACTGGGTCAGTCAGTCTATCTAGGGCTATTCCAGAAGTCACTGATGGTAGTATAAGGTGTATGACTGGGGCAGTCTATCTAGAGCTATTCCAGAAGTCACTGATGGTAGTGTAAGGTGTATGACTAGGGCAGTCTATCTAGGGCTATTCCAGAAGTCACTGATGGTAGTGTAAGGTGTATGACTGGGGCAGTCTATCTAGGGCTATTCCAGAAGTCACTGATGGTAGTGTAAGGTGTATGACTAGGGCAGTCTATCTAGGGCTATTCCATAAGTCACTGATGGTAGTGTAAGATGTATGACTGGGGCAGTCTATCTAGGGCTATTCCAGAAGTCACTGATGGTAGTGTAAGGTGTATGACTAGGGCAGTCTATCTAGGGCTATTCCAGAAGTCACTGATGGTAGTGTAATGTGTATGACTGGGGCAGTCTATCTAGGGCTATTCCAGAAGTCACTGATGGTAGTGTAAGGTGTATGACTAGGGCAGTCTATCTAGGGCTATTCCAGAAGTCACTGATGGTAGTGTAAGGTGTATGACTAGGGCAGTCTATCTAGGGCTATTCCAGAAGTCACTGATGGTAGTGTAAGGTGTATGACTGGGACAGTCTATCTAGGGCTATTCCAGAAGTCACTGATGGTAGTGTAAGGTGTATGACTGGGGCAGTCTATCTAGGGCTATTCCAGAAGTCACTGATGGTAGTGTAAGGTGTATGACTGGGGCAGTCTATCTAGGGCTATTCCAGAAGTCACTGATGGTAGTGTAAGGTGTATGACTGGGGCAGTCTATCTAGGGCTATTCCAGAAGTCACTGATGGTAGTGTAAGGTGTATGACTAGGGCAGTTCTATCACTAATTCCAGAAGTCACTGATGGTAGTTGATGACTGGGATCACAATCCAGGCAGATTGCTGGGCTATTCATCAGAAATCACTGATGGTAGTGTAAACCCTGTTGATGACTGGGGCAGTCTAACCCATACATGATAAAGAGATTCACAGAAGTCACTGATGATGCTGTTAGAAAGAATTCCTGATGTAAGATAAAGGAGCCAAAAGCAGTATCAAAGAAATATTTACAATTTCCTGATTGAAAAATTTGGAAAATATATAGATTGTAGAACCACTGATGGAAAATATAGGAATATAGGAATCTGTTGACAGCCTGTTTCCATGTATTATCAGCTATAAAGGGTTTTATGAAACACCCAATTGATGACTATTTCTCAGAAAACACTGATTGATGAAGGCATGATCAAGAAAACCCTGATTGATAAAATTTTACTTGCAGATCACAGAAAACTCTGATTGATGATTGATCAGATTGATGAGGCAGATCAAAGGTGTATGACCAGATCAAAGAAAACCCTGATTGATGAACTAGATCACAGAAAACCTTGATTGATGAGGCAGATCAAATTAAACCCTGATTGATGAACTAGATTACAGAAAACCCTGATTGATGAACTAGATCACAGAAAACCTTGATTGATGGGGAAGATTACAGAAAACCCTGATTGATGAGGCAGATCAAAGAAAACCGTGATTGATGAACAAGATCACAGAAAACCTTGATTGATGAGGCAGATCACAGAAAACCCTGATTGATAAGGCAGATCACAGAAAACCCTGATTGATGAGGCAGATCACGGAAAATTCTGATTGATGAACTAGATCACAGAAAACCCTGATTGATGAGGCAGATCAAAGAAAACCGTGATTGATGAACTAGATCACAGAAAACCCTGATTGATGAGGCAGATCACAGAAAACCCTGATTGATGAACTAGATCACAGAAAACCCTGATTGATAAGGCAGATCAAAGAAAACCCTGATTGATGAACTAGATCACAGAAAACCCTGATTGATGAACTAGATCACAGAAAACCCTGATTGATAAGGCAGATCACAGAAAACCCTGATTGATGAGGCAGATCACAGAAAACCCTGATTGATGAACTAGATCACAGAAAACCCTGATTAATGAGGCAGATCACAGAAAACCCTGATTGATGGGGAAGATTACAGAAAACCCTGATTGATGAACAGATCACAGAAAACCCTGATTGATGAACTAGATCACTGAACTAGATCACAGAAAACCCCGATTGATGGGGAAGATTACAGAAAACCCTGATTGATGAGGCAGATCAAAGAAAACCCTGATTGATGAACTAGATCACAGAAAACCCTGATTGATGAGGCAGATCACAGAAAACCCTGATTGATAAGGCAGATCAAAGAAAACCCTGATTGATGAACTAGATCACAGAAAACCCTGATTGATGAGGCAGATCACAGAAAACCCTGATTGATGAACTAGATCACAGAAAACCCTGATTGATGGGGCAGATTTGATGAGGCAGAAAACCCTGATTGTTGAGCTAGATTACAGAAAACCCTGATTGATGAGGCAGATCACAGAAAACCCTGATTGATGAACTAGATTACAGAAAACCCTGATTGATGAACTAGATTACAGAAGACCCCGATTGATGAACTAGATTACAGAAAACCCTGATTGATGAGGCAGATCACAGAAAACCCTGATTGATAAGGCAGATCACAGAAAACCCTGATTGATAGGGCAGATCAAAGAAAACCCTGATTGATGAGGCAGATCACGGAAAATCCTGATTGATAAGGCAGATCAAAGAAAACCCTGATTGATGAACTAGATCACAGAAAACCCTGATTGATGAGGCAGATCACAGAAAACCCTGATTGATGAGGCAGATCACAGAAAACCCTGATTGATGAGGCAGATCACAGAAAACCCTGATTGATGAGGCAGATCACAGAAAACCCTGATTGATGAACTAAAGAAAACCCTGATTGATGAGGCAGATCAAAGAAAACCCTGATTGATGAACTAGATCACAGAAAACCCTGATTGATGAGTCAGATCACAGAAAACCCTGATTGATGAGGCAGATCACAGAAAACCCTGATTGATGAACTAGATCACAGAAAACCCTGATTAATGAGGCAGATCACAGAAAACCCTGATTGATGAACTAGATCACAGAAAACCTTGATTGATGGGGAAGATTACAGAAAACCCTGATTGATGAGGCAGATCACAAAAAACCCTGATTGATAAGGCAGATCAAAGAAAACCCTGATTGATGAACTAGATCACAAAAAACCCTGATTGATGAGGCAGATCAAAGAAAAACCTGACTGATGAACTAGATTACAGAAAACCCTGATTGATAAGACAGATCACAGAAAACCCTGATTGATGAACTAGATCACAGAAAACCCTGATTGATGAACTAGATCACAGAAAACCCTGATTGATGAACTACATCACAGGAAACCTTGATTGATGAGGCAGATCACAGAAAACCTTGATTGATGAACTGATGATTGATGAGGCAGATCAAAAAAAAACCCTGATTGATGAGGCAGATCACAAAAAACCCTGATTGATCAGGCAGATCACAGAAAACCTTGATTGATGAGGCAGATCACAGAAAACCTTGATTGATGAGTCAGATCAAAGAAAATCCTGATTGATGAGGCAGATCACAGAAAACCCTGATTGATGAACTAGATTACAGAAAACCCTGATTGATGAACTAGATTACAGAAAACCCTGATTGATGAACTAGATCACAGAAAACCCTGATTGATGAGGCAGATCACAGAAAACCCTGATTGATGAGGCAGATCAAAGAAAACCCTGATTGATGAGGCAGATCACAGAAAACCCTGATTGATGAACTAGATCACAGAAAACCCTGATTGATAAGGCAGATCACAGAAAACCCTGATTGATAAGGCAGATCACAGAAAACCCTGATTGATAGGGCAGATCACAGAAAACCCTGATTGATGAACTAGATTACAGAAAACCCTGATTGATGAACTAGATTACAGAAAACCCTGATTGATGAACTAGATTACAGAAAACCCTGATTGATGAACTAGATCACAGAAAACCCTGATTGATGAGGCAGATCAAAGAAAAACCTGACTGATGAACTAGATTACAGAAAACCCTGATTGATAAGACAGATCACAGAAAACCCTGCTTGTTAAGGCAGATCACAGAAAACCCTGATTGATGAACTAGATTACAGAAAACCCTGATTGATGAACTAGATTACAGAAAACCCTGATTGATGAACTAGATCACAGAAAACCCTGATTGATGAACTAGATCACAGAAAACCCTGATTGATGAGGCAGATCACAGAAAACCCTGATTGATGAACTAGATCACAGAAAACCCCGATTGATGGGGAAGATTACAGAAAACCCTGATTGATGAGGCAGATCAAAGAAAACCGTGATTGATGAACTAGATCACAGAAAACCTTGATTGATGAGGCAGATCAAAGAAAACCTTGATTGATGAGGCAGATCACAAAAAACCCTGATTGATAAGGCAGATCAAAGAAAACCCTGATTGATAACCAGAAAACCCTGTTTGATGAGGCAGATCACAGAAAATCCTGATTGATTTGGCAGAGTGAAAGCTAAAACCACCTATCATATGCTATACTTCAGCTGAGATATTATTATGGATTTCACTTTAGAAGATATACTTACCAGTTTTCTTGTTTAGATGGTGATGAGGCAAGACTCGGAAACATTTTCGGCACACCTGTTAACTCACTACTGCCATCCAATTCTAAAATGTAATATGTTTAAAATGTGGGAGTGAGTGGTATATATCACATATATCAAAACTGGGAACTAATGGAACACTATACTGGAAATAAAATCTAAAAATATAAGACAAATTAAACATTGGGTAAAAATCATCAGCTATTTTCAGCCATCTTGTTTACACACAATTATGGACCAAGGCAAACTTGGGTATGAAATTTGAGAATGGTTATTAAACACTTCTCCAGAAGTAGCGATAACAAGAATTGTAAGGATGGACATAAAAGACTGACAAGATCAACTTGATCTAAGAAAGGCTTACATCAAGTTGATCTTGTCAGTCTTTCTGTCCGTCCTTACAATTCTTGTTATCGCTACTTCTAGAGAAGTGTTTAATAAGCAATGATCTAAGAAAGGCTTTCGGGGATTCAAGACGGCTGCTGAGTAGTGTACACACTGCTTTCTTGCTCTGCATGTTTTAGAAAATTTCTGCCATTTCTAGATGTTGAAATATGTTGACAGTTTGCCAGTAGTTACATTGTTGTCTCAGTAACACGAATATGAACTTGACCTCTGAAAATTTTGTCAGAAAAGTGTGTTTTTGAGAAATTTTTACTGTGAAATATTAAGAGTGAAAACTGTTCACTGGTCTTACTGGATTTACCTGGCCACCTGTATAGTACACCTGGACAGTGTCATTGGCTATACTGTGATAGAGTAGTATTTCTGGACAGCAAAATGTCCAGAGTTCTGTTGGAATTAGAACTGCATTTTGGAACTTTTTTGAACCAATGCAATCAATAGTAATGAGTTTGAGAAACAGCACTACTAAGTCGGGAGGAGGTTCAACAGCCCATAGTAGTAGAAAGAGACATGTTCCATCAGAGACTGGACTAGATGAACAGCTTAAAACAGACATAGAATCAATTATAAAATAAGAATTGGATAAGGTTGTCAGTAAAGATGATTGGAGGAAATGACAGCAGATTTGATTAAAAAATCTGACGTTAAAGCGATGGTGTCTGAAATAGCCTCCAAGATCATGGAACAATTAAAAAGTGAAATGATGAAGGACATGGAAAAACAAAGAAATTCAAAGACTGCTAAGATGAGGGAGGAAATGGACATTCTGAACAACAAGAATTATATTTTACAGGAGTCAATTAGACAGAGGGAGAGGGAAATACAAACTCTAAAACAGGAACATGAACATACATGTGAGGAGCTAGAGGCCCAGAGGAAAGAATTGGAGAAGGTCAGGTCTTTGGCCATTGAAGAAGTCAGAAAAGGAAATTTTAACGAACAATATAGTCGTAGAAACAACTTGAAAGTTATGAGCATGAAAGAATTGAACACAAGAGAGAACGAAAACTAGCTAAGGATTTTTGTGAAGCCATTAACCGCAAAGTGTCAGGAGGAAATATCAGTCCTGGGGATCTGGCTGCAATTCACAGAATTCCTGGAAGAGACTCAAATAAACCTAGGCCAATAGTGGTGAAATACTGAAAAAAAAAGATACAAAAACTTTTGTCATGAGAAATCGAAGAATCTTGTCAGATCTCAGAGTGGTGGGCGACATTACCAGGGACAAAGTTCTACTGATTAATTCACTGAAGGAAAATTCACAAATTGACAGTGCTTGGTACCTTAATGGAAAGGTGTTTGCGGAAAAAGATGGTGTGAGGAAACCAATTGACTTATTTGAAAGGGTTGAGAAAGTGTTCAAATAGTCAGGGACTGTTTACAAGAGAGACTGTGTGATTATACATTCGTATCTGGATAATTATAAAATTAAATTCTAAAAAAAATAAATCTAAAAAAAATTAGTGAGGAAAATAAAAATTAAATGAGAGAATGTGTGTAACGAAGGTAGTGAAATCATTCCCATTTATATGAATTGGATACAATAATAATTCACTTCAGGTAGATGAGTCCAAACTTTACTTCACTAAAATATATATACTGTATTTATTCCAATAAATGCCCGGGGGCGTGAAATTTTTCAGACAGGGGGCTATAAATAGAACACAAAATTTCATAATTTGTTGGGTCATGACATGCCATGGCTGCCACTTAAAACATTGTTTAACAAACTAACCAATTACTCAGCAAAGAATGCATTTGAAAATTGCAGTAATTCCAACATCGTTGTAGCTTTAAACATTGTTGTCAATTGCATTCTGATAACCTGAATTCTTGTATGAAATGACACGATTGTGGCTTCAGTCAAAAATGTATAATATTCATCATCGTGTAGGCCTAATTTGCATAACAAAATAAAACAAGAGATCCCAGAGGGATCTTGGCGCCCACCATTTGAGGATCTGTTTTCAGTTCTTGAAGATTTGTTAATTTTTTTTTTTTTTGTTACAGGTGTTGTAAATGTTCATGAACTGGTCTTCATTGAATGTACTCAATGATGGCACAAGATATTTTTATTAAGCACCTATTAGCAAATATCATTTGAAAAAGATCCCAAAGTATTATAATGGACGATATGCTTGTGCTGTATTACTGTCGACATCCAAGATGGCTGCCTGTGGGCCATCTTGATTTCAAATCAGTCCAAAAAAGGTACAATGCACAACTAGGGACCAAGGGAAACCAATATCTATGAAATATCAGAAGGATCCATCCAGTACTTCCTCAGATATAGCAGTAACAAGATTTTACTCCCAAAATCCAAGATGGCTGCCTGTCAGCCATCTTGATTTCAGATCAGTCCAAAAAGGTACAATGCACAACTAGGGACCAAGGGGAACCTGCATATGAAATTTGAGAAAGATCCATCCAGTACTTTCCAAGAAATAGCGGTAACAAACTTTTACATCCAAAATCCAAGATGGCCACCTGTCGGCCATCTTGAATTCTAATCAGTCAAAAAAAGGTACAATGCACAACTAGGGACCAAGGGGAAACTGCATATGAAATTTGAGAATGATCCATCCAGTACTTTCCAAGAAATAGCAGTAACAAACTTTTACATCCAAAATCCAAGATGGCCACCTGTCGGCCATCTTGAATTTGAATCAGTCCAAAAAAGGTATAATGCACAACTAGGGACCAAGGGGAAACTGCATATGAAATTTCAGATAGATCCATCCAGTACTTTCCAAGAAATAGCAGTAACAAACTTTTACTTCCAAAATCCAAGATGGCTGCCTGTCGGCCATCTTGAATTCGAATCAGTCCAAAAAAAGGTACAATGCACAACTAGGGACCAAGGGGAACCTGCATATGAAATTTGAGGAAGATCCATCCAGTACTTTCTCAGAAATAGCGGTAACAAACTTTTACTTCCAAAATCCAAGATGGCCACCTGTTGGCCATCTTGAATTCTAATCGGTCCAAAAAAGGTACAATGCACAACTAGGGACCAAGGGGAAACTGCATATGAAATTTGAGGAAGATCCATCCAGTACTTTCTCAGAAATAGCGGTAACAATCTTTTACTTCCAAAATCCAAGATGGCCACCTGTCGGCCATCTTGAATTCGAATCAGTCCAAAAAAGGTACAATGCACAACTACGGACCAAGAGGAAACTGCATATGAAATTTGAGATAGATCCATCCAGTACTTTTCCAGAAATAGCGGTAACAAACTTGAATGCGAATCAGTTCAAAAAAGGTACAATGCACAACTAGGGACCAAGGGGAACCTGCATATGAAATTTGAGAAAGATCCATCCAGTACTTTTCCAGAAATAGCGGTAACAAGAATTGTTTACAGACAAAACGAAATTACGACACTGCTTTCAAGGTTAAAGTAATCGCCTTCGCATAGGAGAAAGGTAAACATGCCGCCACGAAAGTGTTTCGTGTTGACAGAAAACGAGTGTGGGACTGGTGTCAAAACAAAGAAAAATTAAAAAATCTTTCTAAAACATCTAAACGCTGTAAAGGAGGTGGGAGGCATGTCAGATATGAAGATATTGACAAAAATCTGATGAAATGGCTACAGGACAGACGGGAGACCAGAATATGAGTGACTGGGATAGCATTGCGGTTTGAGGCCCTGCATATGCATAAGGCAAATGGTAGTCAATCGTTTAAAGCCTCCTATGGATGGTTTTCTAAATTCAAAAAGAGACATAACATTTCATTCAGGCAATCTACGCATGTGGCACAACATGAAGTTTCATTAATTGATGATCGTATTGACAGTTTTTTGAATTTCGTGTTAAGAATGCGTCGGCTACGTGAATACCCTGATAGCCATATCGCTAACATGGACGAAACCCCGGTGTGGTTTGATATGCCAGGAAAATCGACATTGGCAATAAAGGGGGGAGAGGAGGTCAGAGTTTACAGTACTGGCCACGAAAAACAAAAAATAACGGTGACACTGGCAGCATATGCCGATGGGACTAAAATCGCCCCCCTTGTGCACATGCCAGGCATTCGTCCCCTTCCGAAAGATGACATACCAAGTGGTATTGTGGTATACATGTGCGGGGCCGGACAAAAATCCGGGGCAAACGAGGAAAGTATAAAATTTTGGTTAAAAAAACTCTGGGGTGTGAATAATACAGCTAGGCGGTTATTAGTATGGGACGCTTTCCATGGTCATCTTACTGAAGATGTAAAAAAACTGGTTCATCAAAAATATAATTCAGACATCTGTGTTATACCCGGAGGATGTACATGTAAGCTACACCCAGCCGATGTGTCGTGGAATAAACCCTTCAAACAAAAACTTGAAGAGTTGTATGACCAATGGTGTTTCAGTGGCCCCATTGAGAAAACCAAAGCAGGGAATCGTAAAGCCCCATCTAAAGCTGTAATGTTGTCTTGGGTCAAGACAGCATGGGATAGCATTAGCCCGGACACAATCAGAAGATCGTTCAAAAAATGCGGTATCACAAATTCGCTGGACGGTAGCGAGGATCATATTTTCCAGCATGATTCTGACGATGAGGAATTCCAGGGGTTTAGTTAAAAGGATGTCCATGCTGCAGATGACGTTTTGCAAAATTTAATGGGTGATGTGAATGCACCTTCTATTCCACAAACAGAACTGAGTGAAAGCGAGACTGGCGAAAGTGAAAGTGAAGACAGTAGTTCGTACGGAAGTCCTGGCCGTTAGGCCTGCAGTATATTGAAATGAACAGTGGATTAAATTGATATTACTTGTGTACATGTCGTGACAGTGTAATTTTCTTGTGCCAAAATTCATTTGTTCATATTCATGGATACCAGGAATTTAAAATTTATTAAAAGGTAAGCTTTGTAACTTGACTCCTGAGTTGTTGAAATTTACTGAGAAAACAGGTGGGGGGCGTTTATTAGAGACAGGGCGTTTATTGGAATAAATACGGTATTCTTTATTTCTGTTTTTACTCCAATGCAGTGATAGAAGAATTTTGTTCATGGTATTCTGATTATGATGATCAACATGTAGGTATTCTACAAAGTACAGACGTAATTTTAGGAAATTTTAGCAATATCTTGAATCTTTTTCTTTTAATACTTAACCACTACATCCATTACTGAAGAATTAATGATGTTGTTCCTACTTTTACTGCTTGTAAGACCAGATAATGTTAATTCTCCATTGGAGCCTGCCCCCCTATAATTTCTTATCTAGCTCAACTACTGTTTTTTTCTTTTCCGAAAAATAATTTTACACCTTTCCGACACCCAGATTTCATAATTTCAGTGAAAGTGTATTTTTATAAAGTTGTCAATTTCAGCATCAAAGACATAAGTTCGTAAATAAAAGAAGGTTATCTCGAAATTGTAATTCGCAACATAGTATAAATTTCTTTTGCTAAATATTTCCAAAACATCGTGTTTACTCATAAAACATAAAAAAAAATATTCTCGGATGAAAATGCACTTGCAGAGACACAATTATGAAGAAAAATGCCATAAATTTGCAATTTTCTCCCGTTATATAGTTTTGGATGCAAATTTCCATCAGAAAATCGGATAGAGCTTTACTTGTTTCATATGTGTACCAAAAATCAGCTAATTCCATGTGGTGGAACGTTCTCATATCGCCGCCTGAATGTGGTTGTAAATTGAAAGAAAAGGGGAAATGAGTAACAACCTTGTCTGAAACCCTATTATATAGCTTATTATATACAAACTTTTATATTGAATATCAGAGCGGATATTTTCATGACAGTTTTATGATGTGTAAAAAAAAAAAAATAATAAAGTACTGTTTCCCCGTCTCAATCTTGATTACTTGAGAACCATTACGTGTGGAACGTATCAGATATCTCTGGCTCCTGGTTACATCGCTGAACATTTAAGTGATGACGGCGACTATGAGGTGTGGCTCCCCAGACCTCCGATGTCAAATACATTCTCGACACAAAAGCCAAACGAAATATAACGTTTGGATACGGTTCACCGTTTCACCCGATGTTGAGGCCCCAATAAAGGACTACTACTGCCAGTGCCCAGTTGGAAAGAGAACGATGGGAATGTGTGCGCACATCTCCAGTATCTTGTACTACCTTGGGTATTACAGGACGCTGGAAAACCCTTGACCATTACAACCACAGGTAAAGAAATTCCGACAAAACTTGAAATAGTTTTCCATGCGGCAACAACGTGCATATGTCGACAGTATGTTTGGGGCTCGATATGAAAGATCCCCGTTACCATGTGACTAACCAAACTTATAAATATAGGTATTATACAATCCCCCTAGCTATGAACACTCCCGTAAATGCGAAAACCAACCAAAATCATAAGGAACACGTTTTGTTTGTTGTTCTGTCTATTTGTCAGCCAATGTCTTCAACCACGGGGACTTGCGAAGTAGCCATCTTGGATTTTTTTATGAAAAAGTGTTTCTCTCACTTTTTATCATATCTGTGTACATATTCTCAACATACCGAGCAAATACTCTCGTTTTTTTGTTAATTATCTAAAGAAAGTCGAAAATTGGCAATTCAACCATAGGCTAATTCAACCCAACATTTGAAAATGTTCCACCACTGACATTTTGATGATTTTTCCTCTCATCAATAGCATATTACGTACTATTTTATAGGATAAAAATTGGTTTGCATCCAACGCCCATAAAAGGTTGTATTCTCTAAAAAACACAGTTTTTGTGTCTAAAATGTTATCATCGAAAATAGCATTTTTGAGATTGTTTCTTCCATAAAACAGCCAAATGGCGTGATGGAAACATGATTTTTTTGTCACAATCATGCCATGAATGTATTCTTTACGGTGACTATCATTTGATTAGATTTTCATTAATATTTTACATAACATGCACATTTTATCAACACTTAGACAGCTTCTGAAAGGTACAACTTTGAGGAGCCATAAAAAACAAACCAAGTGACCTAAATCTTTATACTTTATAGATTTGTGACCACAACAGCATGGGCAATGCACCACCAACAGGAAATTTGAATCAGGGAAGGGGCCGTTTTGGAAACCAGCCCTTTCATTGAAAATGGGGGGCTTTTCTCAATGCTCGGAGACATGAACCAGTAGAAGGCAGATCATAGAATATTGCTAAGTGAAGTCTTTTTATATATTTATCAACTTACCAACTCTAAAGATTTTGTTGTAGCTGGACTCTCTCCCTAGTGAGTGAGAAATGTAAGAGGACATATGACATTCAATGTCATATATGTGTGTGCGTATGGGTTTAAGAATCTGTATGTGTGCATGACCTGTGTGTGTGTGTAAGATGCAGGTACCAGCTGTACATATGGTTAAACTATAGTATGATTATACAGGCCCAGATTGTATGTTCTTTCCCTTAAAGGAGTACATGCACCTTATTAATATATAACGTGTGATTAGTGCATATTTCGGTGTGTGAATCTGTGGTTGTGTGAACAATTGTAGGCCAGTGTATATGTGTGTTAATCCATACCTGTGTTAAAGAGAAAATAGCATCAGTGAGTATTCTATACATTGAGTGTTGGTAGTTGTGTGTGTAGTGATGGCTAGGTCTGTAAATAGTATTTGTATCTATTGTATTTATCAACAGTGATTATAGATGACAATTATTTATGTAACTACATAGTAAATTATTTGAAGGATGAATGTGTGAAGCGGTGTGCGAGAGCCCCCCTGTGAGGGGACACAATTTGTTTATGAAGGCTGACCCAAAGGCCCCAACAGACCTTGGCAGTCTGCCAATATAATCATGAATAAATATTTTGTTAAAAAAATATAAGAAAGGCTTACACAAGCCAGAGTCTGATCAGGTGCCGAATATAATTACATAATGTGGTATATATGAACAAAAGCTGGAGAAATGACAGACATGGGTAGCACATTCTGCCTTCCATGGTGGCAGCACAAAATTAGATAATCTATGGACAAATTATGAGAAACAATGATCCAAGCAAACCTTTTGTTTATTTCCCTCAGATGTACGTCTACTCCATATCAAACAAAAATTTGTATTATCTTAAAAACTTTCGAAGTTTCATCTGAATTGAAGTTTCCAAATAACTGATTTTTACTAGTCAACTATTAAGTACTAATCATGTTTTGTCTAACTAGAGAAGGCTATAGAATCTGTACATCAGGACAACAGTTCCATTGTACCTGGTTTACAGGTTTTAGTGGTTATCTTCACTTTTTTTTTACAACATTGCTGGTTTTTAAATGTACAACGTACTTACCAGGACTCACAGCATTCAAATTACCTGGTAAATACAAAGACATAAGTCACTTAAAAATATTATCAATGATAGCACAAAGCCTAGATATACAGGAAGATTATCTCACTATTGAGCTTGATGAAGAGAGTCAAAGGTATACATTCAGAAGAATATGTAAACTATCAGTCATGTAGGAGGTGATTTCCTTTGACCTTCAGTGGTTTGAAATGAAATCAAACCATAACCATTTAACATTCCAAGTGAGTTTGAAGACAATATATTAAAAGCAATATTTGAAAAATGCAGATAACAGATCATAAAAGATACCTATGCATGAGAAAATGTGATGATTGACAGTCTGATGGGATGCATCAACACATTCTCCAACACTTCAGATTTAAAGAAAAACAACATTCATACAACTATATTCTAAATAGGTCATAACTGGAAAAATAGCAGAAACAAGTCACAGTTATATATGGATTTTCTGATGGCCATATAGCTATTTTGCCATTAAAGCAAGCAGTATTTAAAGATAGGAGAGTGTGGGAGGAAAATAATTTAACACTATATTATGTTAACAGAAAATCTCGACCTCTGGGTTTTTTTTATGAACTTTTATTGTTAAACTGTATAACAGTGAGTGTTACAGTCAATCACTGCTTACTTGTTGGTCCAAATGATGACGACAAAGACAGCGGGCTCGGTGCACTAAGACTTTGAAAGTATGGACTTCCTCCAAATGTAGCAAAACTATTCATTCTGCAAAAGCAAAAAATTGTCACTAACAATTATTTATCTAAAAAGTGTTCATTCAGTATCAGTAATTGTTGAAAGGATGAACATTTTGTTGCTGATCTACATACCCTGCCAGTCCAGTTACAGTACTATTGGCTGTCCTTGATCTACATACCCTGCCAGTCCAGCTACAGTACTATCGGCTCTCCCTGATCTACATACCCTGCCAGTCCAGCTACAGTACTATCGGCTGTCCCTGATCTACATACCCTGCCAGTCCAGCTACAGTACTATCGGCTCTCCCTGATCTACATACCCTGCCAGTCCAGCTACAGTACTATCGGCTCTCCCTGATCTACATACCCTGCCAGTCCAGCTACAGTACAATCGGCTCTCCCTGATCTACATACCCTGCCAGTCCAGCTACAGTACTATCGGCTCTCCCTGATCTACATACCCTGCCAGTCCAGCTACAGTACTATCGGCTGTAACTGATCTTACATACCCTGCCAGTCCAGCTACAGTACTATCGGCTCTCCCTGATCTACATACCCTGCCAGTCCAGCTACAGTACTATCGGCTGTCCCTGATCTACATACCCGGCCAGTCCAGCTACAGTACTATCGGCTGTCCCTGATCTACATACCCTGCCAGTCCAGCTACAGTATCACTGACTGTCCTTGACCTACATACTCTGACAGTACACCTACAGTACCACTGACTGTCCTTAACTTACATACTCTGACAGTACACCTACAGTATCACTGACTGTCCCTGAGCTACATACCCTGACAGCACACCTACAGTATCACTGACTGTCCTTGACCTACATACTCTGACAGTACAACTACAGTACCCCGGACTGTCCTTGACCTACATACTCTGACAGTACAACTACAGTACCACTGACTGTCCTTGACCTACATAATCTGACAGTACACCTACAGTACTATTGGCTGTCCCTGATCTACATACCCTGTCAGTCCAGCTACAGTACTATAGGCTGTCCCTGATCTATATACCCTGCGAGTCCAGCTACAGTACTATCGGCTGTCCCTGATCTACATACCCTGCCAGTCCAGCTACAGTACTATCGGCTGTCCCTGATCTACATACCCTGCCAGTCCAGCTACAGTACTATCGGCTGTCCCTGATCTACATACCCTGCCAGTCCAGCTTCAGTACTATCGGCTGTCCCTGATCTACATACCCTGCCAGTCCAGCTACAGTGCTGCTGATGGTTCCGTCACCTTTCCATTTGGCCTTTTTTGTTCCAGGAGGTGAAGATTCCTTCACATTTTGTGACCCTGATTTGACCTTTTTCGAACCTGATGAACCCTGTCCTGGTTTTAATCTTTTCACTTTTTTATCTCCTTTTTCTTGGGACCTGTGGAATTAAGTTTTAGCATGTGATACATGGAACCAAAGTGAACTGACGATAGAATGCCAATATACTGGTATACCTGTCCTTTAAATATTATTTTGCTAAATTTCATGTCTTTCTGTTTCATGCACAATGTACAATATATACTTGATCTCATTTCAATTTATAGACTGGAATCTTAGAATCACTACAACTGACATGCTGATATAAAAAATGTTTTTAACATGCATCTTTTTATCATATATTTATTCAATTAATGACTGAAACAAAAATGTTAAAAGAGATTAAGATTTAAAATTGACGATAGCAAAAGGTTCAGCAAAATCATTCATACCTATTTCTTTAAATGCAATATTGATAAATCTACCACATTTATGACTAATTGAACATTATAATATATTTCGTTTGAAGGATTTTTCAAGGCACGAATGTAAAAACTTTCCAAGACTGTGCACATACCACCATGTTGTTGGTATACCAACTCAGCAAGCGTTCATCCATCAAATATTGATCAAGTTTTAATCTTACTTATAAAGCATAATGTACACAGAGCATTCAGCGTTAAATCTACATGCGAGTCCTAAGTCCTGTACCAGAATTTTGATGGGACTCCAAGAATTTCTGGCAATATTTGAATTTACATAAAAAATCTACTGTTTTTAGCAACAAAGCTGAAAAGGACTCATGAAAATAAATTGTAGATAGATCAATAAGTATTGTAGAAGAAAGTTCACATAACCTAAAGTGATCTTATCCTTGATTCCAGTTTACATATATACCTTGATCTTGATCGTTTGCCATCCATGACATCAGAATCATCATCTTCTTCAGTCATCGAATCGTCCAGGGAATGTTGCCTTGACACTGACGCCCCTCCACTCACAAAGTTCTCTAGAACTCCTGAGAATGAAGTAGCTGGAGCTCCTAAGGAACTTGTTGCTGCACTTGTTGAACCCATCATACTAGAGTCATTGGAATTTGGAGCCATAAATTTTGGTTCTGCAACCAGGGGAAGTTTTGGATCAACATTGTGAGCGAGATCTGTGATTGCAGAATCTTGTTCATCCATAGATGGTGATTCTGTGGAACTTACTGCAGACGAGTCTGAAGTACCTATACCACTACTGTGTGACAGTGGAGGTGTACTAGTTTCCCGTTCCTTGAGTACTTCAGCACCAACTGGTGGTGCAGTTGGGTAAGAACTTGGGATTTGTGAACGTGACTCCCGTTGCTGGGCGAACAATTCTGAAGATGTATACTTAGCCTCAGCCTTATTTCCTTTCTGCAAGACACAATTGCATAATGATTTAACAAGAATTTTGATCCTTTTCATGTTTAGCAACTGTTTCTGAAAGCATTAAAACTGAGCAGCCTTTGAAAACTGCAGTTACATACAACCCCATAGCAAACATTTTCACGAAAGAATTTTCACAAGTTCAAATAACATGTATCTCTATACCAATAAGGCTATATCATTTAGACTGATGTGAAATTGTTTCTATATAAAGCTAAGATATGTATACAGGAAATACTATTGATATACCTACTTTGAAGTTCTTGTTAGAATTGAGATTTTTCTCTGGTGAATTGTCAGGCGTAGCATTGTCTGCTGGTATTGGCTTGAATGCAGGGATGATTTTGATATTGGCATCTTTCTTCTGTTAAAATTTAAAAAGAATGAAAAAAAAATAGAAATGTAAAATAAACCTTGTCTGAAATTTGCTTGAATTCTTTAGAGATATCCCTAAAAAAGGGTACAGTAGGAAAACATTTTTTTTCCAATAAATCTTTAAACTCAGATGAACTTTGGTCGTTGTGATGTTGTACCCTCTTCCCCACAGCACACTTGGGAAGTTAGCAGTAATTATTTGTCAATAGTTTTAATTATTTTTTTCTAATTTGGATAAAATCGTAATTATGTTTGTGTTACATAAATAGGTGTGCTTGTCTCTCTAAGTCAATGGAAAAAGCCTAAACATACCAATTTTTTGTAGTGATAAGCACAGTATCCACAATACTTGACATTGTCACCATAGTTACCAGCTTCTTCACACAGCAACCCATGAGCCTGAGCACTGGAACACCCAATATAACAGAGTTATATAAAGTCTACTTTGCCATATACATCTCAACTAGTGTCTCTGTTTCTTTATTATGAGCCGATAATGACAAATCTTTGTTCAACAGTCAATAATCCCAAATATGAATCCCAATGTGAAACCTCTGCTGATAAAATAAGGTGTGAATTAAATCTTATTTCAATCTTATCACATGGAAAACAAGACAGGACGAACAGACAAACCTATATGTCTCTTTTATTTTTTGTGATACAGAGGATAAAGAACGCTCAATGTTATAAATACCTCTACTTCCATGTAAAGTGATACAAATGTCAGGCAGATTTTCATGAAAAACTGTAACTGATCTTGACCTTGGAACCTTCATGAACTTGTCTAGAGTACATTGTTAAACCATCATCAAAAGGAGAGTGATGACAAAAATTTGGGGACAGGATGGGGAATGGGATGAGACAAACATGGGTAACTATGTAAAAAAATAACTGCTGGGTGAAAATGTGTTGTATTCAATAATGATCATCTTTCACTCCTAAATGAATTATCTGACAAAAAAATAGGGGTAGGTAAGAAAGCCAATATGACTAACCAGGTAACATGGAAGTTCTGTTTACAACCGTTCTTGTTACACTGCATACAAGCACCCTGGGTAGCCTTACTGCTGCGTTCGTGTTCCTCACAAATGTAGCAAGTCTGCAAGGAAAAATGAACCATCATACAAACCTCAAGATTTATTGTGAGTTTCCATAACACTATAGAAGGTTTATTATGTTGTCAGACTCAAGATTTATCTTCTCTATTACCATATGTTAAAACCAGAGAGATCTTGGCACCCACCATTTGAGGATCTGTTTTCAGTTCTTGAAGATTTGTTTTTTTTTTTTTTTTTTGTTACAGATGTTGTAAATGTTCATGAACTGGTCTTCATTAATTGTACTCAATAATGGCACAAGACATTTTTATTAAGCACCTATTAGCAAATATCATTTGCAAAAGTATTATTAGATAGCAGTCAGTTACAGGTGGATAATGGACATGGTCTTGAATCAATATGATAGAATATCGAAGAAAAAATGCTTGTGCTGTATTACTGTCGACATCCAAGATGGCTGCCTGTGGGCCAACTTGATTTCAAATCAGTGAAAAAAAAGTACAATGCACAACTAGGGACCAAGGGAAACCAATACCTATGAAATATCAGAAGTATCCATCCAGTACTTCCTCAGAAATAGCGGTAACAAGATTTTACTCTCAAAATCTCAAAATGCCTGTCAGCCATCTTGATATCAGATCAGTCCAAAAAGGTACAATGCACAACTTGGGACCAAGGGGAACCTGCATATGAAATTTGAGAAATATCTATCCCGCTCTTGCCAAGAAAATAGCGATAACAAACTTTTACTTCCAAAATCCAAGATTGCCGCCTGTCAGCCATCTTGAATTTGAATCAGTCCAAAAAAGGTACAGTGCACAACTAGGGACCAAGGGGAACCTGCATATGAAATTTGAGAAAGATCCATCCAGTACTTTCCCAGAAATAGCGGTAACAAACTTTTACTTCCAAAATCCAAGATGGCTGCCTGTCGGCCATCTTGAATTTGAATCAGTCCAAAAAAGGTACAATGCACAACCAGGGACCAAGGGGAACCTGCATATGAAATTTGAGAAAGATCCATCCAGTGCTTTCCAAGAAATAGCGATAACAAACTTTTACTTCCAAAATCCAAGATGGCTGCCTGTCGGCCATCTTGAATTTGAATCAGTCCAAAAAAGGTACAATGCACAACTCGGGACCAAGGGGAAACTGCATATGAAATTTGAGAAAGATCCATCCAGTACTTTCCCAGAAATAGCGGTAACAAGAATTGTTTACGGACGGACTGACGGACCACGGACGCAGGGCGATTTGAATACCCCACCATCTGATGATACAATATATTAGCATTGTAAAAGCAGATTACAAACCCTTCAGAAAGCTTTACTTTGGAAATGCTTTTTCTTTCCTTCATTCCTAACATGAAATCTTACGGCTTTATTCAGGCATAAAGAAACTAAGGATATATCACTTAGAATGATCTGTATGAATTTCACCTATATCTATATCAATTAATGTTGAATCTTATGAATTTGATCTGAAACCTTTTTATCTTGTTAAGCCTCCTCTGGTCGCATCTCTACGGCACCTTTAAATTTATCTTTGGAATCTTTCTATTTTCAGAAGCTCTATGTAGAACCTTTTAGTATGACTTAAATAATTCTACCTATAAAATCTCTCTGGCAGGACATCAATAAATCTACCTGTAAAATCTCTCTGGTAGGACCACTATAAATCTACCTGTAAAATCTCTCTGGTAGGATCACTATAAATCTACCTATAAAATCTCTCTGGTAGGACCTCTATAAATCTACCTATAAAATCTCTCTGGTAGGACCTCTATAAATCTACCTGTAAAATCTCTCTGGTAGGATCACTATAAATCTACCTATAAAATCTCTCTGGTAGGACCTCTATAAATCTACCTGTAAAATCTCTCTGGTAGGACCTCTATAAATCTACCTGTAAAATCTCTCTGGTAGGACCGCTATAATTCTACCTTGTAGAACCTTGCTGGTAGGACCAATATAAATCTACCTGTAAAATCTCTCTGGTAGGACCACTATAAATCTACCTGTAAAATCTCTCTGGTAGGACCACTATAAATCTACCTATAAAATCTCTCTGGTAGGACCACTATAAATCTACCTATAAAATCTCTCTGGTAGGACCTCTATAAATCTACCTGTAAAATCTCTCTGGTGGAACCTCTATAAATCTACCTGTAAAATCTCTCTGGTGGAACCTCTATAAATCTACCTGTAAAATCTCTCTGGTAAGACCTCTATAAATCTACCTGTAAAATCTCTCTGGTAAGACCTCTATAATTCTACCTTGTAGAACCTTGCTGGTAGGACCACTATAAATCTACCTGTGTGTAGAATCTCTCTGGTTGGACCTCTATAAATCTACATGTGTGTAAAATCTCTCTGGTGGAACCTCTAAATCTACCTGTAAAATCTCTCTGGTAAGACATCTATAAATTTATTTTGTGAAACCTCTCTGGTAGGACCTCTATAAATCTACCTTTTGGAACCTCTCTGGTAGGACGTCTATAAATCTACCTTTTGGAACCTCTCTGGTAGGACCACTATAAATCTACATGCGTGTAAAATCTCTCTGGTGGAACCTCTATAAATCTACCTATAAAACCTCTGGTAAGAACTCTATAAGTTTACCTTGTGAAACCTCTCTGGTGGAACATTCTTGAGCACGATTGGCTCCATGGTCTGCACATTGGCAAACCAGGCTTCAGGTACAAACAGTGCACAAACAACATGGCACCAGCTCACTGTAATAACCACGGCAAAATGTAGAGATCATGATCAATAAGCATACATAACATTCTTTGACATTTATCAACATGACTAGCAGTGGCTAAGGAACAGAAAGCTTTAAAAAATCTAGAGATTTAGATGGAAGAGAATGGATATATTTATTTTCTTGGTATAATAAAATGTATCCTCTTACTTACTGCTACAACATAAAAATTTAAACATAGCTAGATAATGCATGTCAGCATGATATTATTGCCACAGATTAATCTAGAATATGGGGAATACATATTGTGGAAAAGGGGGAATTTTTGGCCTAGCTTGAGAAATGGAGAAATTTCTGACAGCCCTTTAGTTCAAAATTCAAAATGAGAACTGGTGAAAGTATATGACACTCAGGAAGATTTTTTCCTATGTGCAGGAACTTTCCTCATGTTTATATTGGGGAACTTTTCAGGGGTTTTTTTTCAGTATTTTCTTGAAAAAGAATTAATTTATATTCAGAGGGGAAATCATACCACTTGACAAATACTACCATTTCCTGTGACATAAAGCACAAATAACTGAAAAAAAAATTGAATCCTAAAATTTTTTATATAAACACACCACCAGTGTCAGTTCTCTTCAGGGCTCCGTCCTTCTGCGGGCAAAGTTCACATCTCTACAACAAAAAAAGAATTCACATCAATTTGTCTAACTACACAGATATAACACAACATTGCTATATTAGAACAAGCCTAGCAGGGTTCGCGTGGGTGTGGTCTTATTAAAGTCACAGATCACGGCACCAGTCATGTGATCTTTTCTAAGACAGGATTAATTTAGCGTTCATTAATAATGACATAATAAAATAATTTGTAATCTATTTCACAGCTAAACAACATTTTAAATATGAATCTTGTGATTTCTTATATCAGTGATCCAAACACTGTTTATACTAAATAATTGCTTACTTTTGAAAGCAGATATACAATATAGTTTACTCACAACACTTTTTTGACTAAGTACATTATTGTAATATAAAATGTGATGAAATAAGCCCAGGAGAGCTACACATAAGCTTTGACTTAAAGTGGGCTACCTGTACCTGTACTACTACATATATCTGTAGTACATGTTATCATTTCTACTGAATCTTCATGTGCAATATATGTCACATGGGTGGGCTTATTACCAGACATGGGCTTACTACTAGGCATGGATACATTTTGTCTGTTATGTTCCATACATAGCATAGACATCCTAAACAAGGGCAATATCTAGATAACAACATGAAGCCTGCTTTCACCCTAAGGTACTATTAGTTATAAAGTATACATGTATTCATAATAGTGATGGATATTTCATGGAGTTTCATCTATATACTACAATATACGGTAAGTTTCAAATTTTTATGTATCTTTTTGTTTCTTTTTTTTAGATGCATTAAGATATGCTCAACAGAAAATTGAGAATTTCGCTAACCAACATCCACTTCTGCTTTTGCTACACTATACATGGTAAACAAACTAATATGAAGCATTTTATCATCAAAATTAAGTAAACATTGACAGCCCATTTGTATCCCATTCTAGCTGGAATACTGTCATTGATCTATTGCATTATCAAACAATATCTATTTTCTAAACATAACAACATATATATCCCAATACAGGTATGCCAGTAACTCATAATTTTGTGCAACTCTAATGTATGACACTGTACATAGAAATCCATGCACACATTATCACATATTTCATGAACTAAATGATGCAACTTAGAAGATTGCTAGCAAGTTACAAATATTCACAATTTTTAAAAAAGAAATTGTCATGCCAGGCATGTTATGTTATACTTGACTCTACATACTTTCTGTGTTTCAAATCATGATCTTCGGTTTGAAATAATTAGGAACTGTCTAAAATGTTTAGAAACTATATCTAATGCCCATCTCAGTTCTTCATCATCCCTATAATAACCAGTACCAGAATTGACTATTGCTTATTACACATGCAATGAATCTCTAGGCAGTTCTTCAGTGCACTGCCTACAGCATGCATTTAATGTTGTTTCAAGGATAGCTAACTTAGTCTACAATAATGTCACATATACCAACTATTTACAAATGATCACATGACAATGGCCACCAATTCAAGTTTTAAAAACCTGTGATGTTCGTATGAATAACTAATGTACATGAATACATACTGGCAACTTTACAAAACATTATATTGTATGTATTTATAATAAGTTGACTTCTAAAATTGAAGATGTTTATCCCATGTGTTTGTTTCATCTTCCATATTGAACAATTTAGCTAGCTATTTTTTCCAAGAAATGGTTTAAAATGCAAGTTATTGGTACTTTCAAATAATTTAACAATGACATATTGTGAATGGATAAAGAGTTTCCTCTACACTTTGCTTGTAATAGGAACATTTTAGTCATATCTTAACAAATAACTTAATTCCATTCTTGAACCAGTATTTTTGAAGTCGAAATAAAATTAACTGTTGTACAACAAAATTTAGTAGGTCACAATCAAAAAGATTTATAGGTACTGGCAGGCCAGCAACAGGTGTTCAAAATTAATACTGAAATCATAATCATCAGCATCTCAAGTATGCATGGTGCATTTAAACACATAAATCACAAGTAGAATTTCAATTTGCAGATATGTTTATTTGTGACACATGTATCAATCATCAGAGGTTTTCGTGACATAACTGATTCTGGGAAATCCTCGCTAATTTTATTTGTTCAAAGTTCTAAACAGTCTATCTGTTGAAGTAGCAAAGACTTTTTTAACATACAGTTGTTGAATTTTCAAACATATGCTTTTCAAAAATCTCTGATAAAGAACATGAGTAGACCAGGCAGAGTATATGGTCGCCAGTAAACTTACTGATGGTTCTGGAGCACTATTTCTGTTGCTAACCTGCTAGATAAAAAATGGACATATTCAAATTATTTGCATACATCATGTATCCAACCAATATTTTAAGACAACCATGTGCAAAGTGCAGCTTACAATAGTTTAGTTGACCTAGCCAGGGACATGGTTTTTGATTTATGATGAATGGACATATACATCCCTTGACTTCATTTTGTTAAAATTTTGACCAATTCTTATTGTGTCAGGGACAAAACCTAGAATTATAGAAAGGAAACAATCTTTATTTATCATTAAACCAAGAATATTCTGCAATCGTTTTTTTTTTTTTTTTTTTTTACATTTAATAACCATGACTAATCAATGTGATCTATTGAGTGCTTTATAAGGTATGGATGGATTTTGTAATGATATATTATTTCAGCACCTCATATTAGCTGATGTGCAGTGTCATTATCTTTTTACAAATCTTCTATCATGAAGCAGCACTTGCAAGCTGCATGTTACCATTCTATCTTGGGACACCTTCAAATATATACTACAAGTATATAGGCTAAGAGGTTGACACAGCAAGAAACTTATGACAAGCACTTTGTAACCTCTAACTTCTTAAAGGCTATTTACCCGATGCTGCCAAGTTTTCAAAGGTCAGAATTTTTTTAACATATAAACATATTTACTTGACTTGATTTGTATTTTACATTGACCGAAACTGACATGTTTGAAATCCAGGTTAACTAAGTGATGGAATGAAGATGGAGTATATACTATGTGATGAAGATTGGAACACTTAATTTGGGTAATTACTGTAATACCTAAATTGTAAGTACATACAGTTGCCATCAAAGTTTAAGCTCTGAAAAGATATAACTGAGTCTTTCAACAAGCATCGAAGACACAGTGCTCAGGAAAAAAGATGCCACAATCGATACAATTACATCAGATAATAAATCGGCCGACAATCTGCCTATGTTATCTGATTATCATTATAGGAGTAGACACTGGAAATGAACACTGAACTGACTTGTAAAAATTGGATGGTCGTCGGCTATTATCAAATAAATGAATTATAAGATGAAAAGGATGGAACCATTCACACCAGAACACTGATTGTATCGTTGTTTTGAATGTGGACCTTTATTGCTAGGACAAGACAAACCGAAACTCGAAAGTAGTGAAACGTGCTTCCGGTTGCTTACAAAATGGCTGCTTACCACTCTTGCCGTCCGTTCTTGAGACTCGCACTTCCTGCAGAACCAAGGTCCCGTTGGCACGTGAACAATACCGTAACAAGCTGAAAATAAAATGAAAATTCTTTTGCAACCAACGTGTAAAATTTTTCTCATTATGCACAAACCCACCCCGAGACGAACCTTTTCACGTGTGGAGGGAAAATCGCTAGCTTATTGGCAACAAACCTTGGTGTACGGCGACATTACAACCAGTTCCATCACAATAAACGAGTGGGTTTTCTGCCCATCCGCGTTCGTCGGAGCATACGCAGCATCCCCCAACCATCTCCTTCATAATGGCGAGCTCCAAGGTATAGAAAGCCCTTCAAAATCACATAATGTTTGCATCTTAGCTATTCATCCTATGTAACCTTTTCCGGTTATTAAGGTTATTACACATGCGCACACACTAACCTAATGAATTGTGGGATATGTTGTTGAACAAAACCAAAACAGTACCACGTGCTTACATATTGTGCTCGCAGCACCAAGTAAGTGAACGTGTTCATTAATTGTATGACATATTAGATATGACTTGAGATTTCGACGAAGAATTTGAGAAGCTTCTGGTAAAAAAAAGATGACGGAGATGTTCTCGTTGCAATAAAAGAAGAACTTATTAGTGATGAGGTACACGATCTTACACCCACCAGCTCATGTGAAATGGCATGGGCTAAGGTTAAGATAGTCGGGAGTAAAACTCTTTACGTCAGCTCTTTTCACCATCCTAAGACCCCTGACGAATATAGCATTAAATCATTCATTGATTCGGTAAACGAGTCATGTAAATTGAGAAATGCAGCACTTATAATAGGTGGAGACTTCAATCTTCCTGACTGGGACTGGAAGACCAAAGTTCTTAAACCCAAAACTTGTCATACCAAAATCCACTATGACTTTTCAAATTTATTGGACAACACTGGTCTAACACAAGTCGTTGAAGAACTGACCTGAAATGATAATACCTTAGATATGGTCATAACAAATTCTCCTAATCAAGTGTCCCGTACTTAAATCATCCTTGGCATATCTGACCATAACATTATCTTTGTTGAATTTACTCTCGCACCCAAAACACTTGTTCAAAAACCAAGAAAAAATCCCATTATACAAAAATGCTAATTGGAATTCTATCAAATTATATTGGGGGGATGTTTATAACTATATGTTAACAAATAATGAGTGGGATGCAAATTCAATGTGGGAATAGTTTAAAAGTGAACTTATGAAAACTGTCCAGGAACATATCCCACAGAAAATCATAAAGTCCAAAACTAACCTACCATCAGTTACCCCTGAGATAAAAAAAACTCATAAGAAAACAAGATAGGCTTTATGTTAAAGCTAAAAAATCTGTGGATTCCTCGTTAAAATAAAAATTTAGAGGCATAAAACACCTTGTCCAAAAGATACTATGTACATCTTATTGGCAGCATATTGATGATATACTAAACCCTGATATCTCACATTCTGATAACCAATACTCTGGTATGAAACGCTTCTGGTCAAAAAGCCAAACGATCGGATCACGGTGGCATCTCTCCATTGAAACAAGAGGGTTAAACTCATACATAATCCTGTTGGCAAAGCACAAGTGCTTAATGCACAGTTTCAATCTGTTTCAATGATCAACAGTTTATTTCCAGATGTAGCATGCCTCCTGACCATCGATTTCCAACCATGCCTGATATTGAGACTAATGTAAATGGTATAGTAAAACTCCTTAAAGGATTAAATCCGTATAAGGCTGTAGAACCAGATGACATCAAACCAAAAGTCCTGAAAGAACTTGCTAATGAAGTAGCCCCCATCCTATCTCTATTATTTAGCTAGTCTTTGTTTACAGATCTAGTCCCTACTGATTGGAAACTGGCAAATATTTCTCCAATATACTAAAAAAGGACAGAAATCTAATCCTGAAAATTACAGACCAATTTCTCTGACATGTATTTGTAGTAAAGTCATGGAACACACCATCGTTTCTAACATCATGAATCATGCTGATACAAACAACATCCTGTATCCATTCCAACATGGCTTTCTCAAATATCTATCATGCAAGAGTCAGTTGATTGAATTCATAGACTTAATTAAGTTTTTTTTTTAAATCAGACTCGTCCTATCTATTAATTTATTTATCTAAAAATCACGGACTTACTAATAATAATTAAGTCCATGATATGAGTTGGGATACAGCAACAGCGCATCGCTTGTATGATAAATAATGTCTTGGCTAAATCGCACGGCATCGGTAACCCACGACTCCTTTCGACGCTCACGTATACTGTATACTGTAGGAGGAAACTAAATCACCGGTGAAAACCCACGTGGTTGAGTAGTTGAGTTGGTATACCTTCTCACATGAATATTGTCCTCTTTCGTCCGTTAAAAGGTCGAAAGCTGTAATAATGGACGTAAAACCCGTATGTAAAATGTAAATCTCTGTTTATCTTTTAGAGCCATGAATGTGTATATCAATACAGGAGTCTTTCTTGTTGTTAGATTGAGAAAACGATATTGATTAAACGTATGAATAACTACTATATATCTGCAGTCATACTAAAGGTGGTGCCTACCTCTATTATTTTTTCTTGTATAACACCATAAATGATGAGTCATTATAACTACTTATAGTCATACTGGACCTCCTTGTATAACACCAGGTGGAGTCATTATAGCTACTACTATAGTCATACTGGACCTCCTTGTATAACACCAGGTGGAGTCATTATAACTACTTATAGTCATACTGGACCTCCTTGTATAACACCAGGTGGAGTCATTATAACTACTTATAGTCATACTGGACCTCCTTGTATAACACCAGTTGGAGTCATTATAACTACTTATAGTCATACTGGACCTCCTTGTATAACACCATGATTGGTCATTATAACTACTTATAGTCATACTGGACCTCCTTGTATAACACTAGGTGGAGTCATTATAGCAACGAATAGTCATACTGGACCTCCTTGTATAACACCAGGTGGAGTCATTGTTGCTACTTATAGTCATACTGGACCTCCCTGTATAACACCAGGTGGAGTCATTTTAGCTACTTATAGTCATACTGGACCTCCTTGTATAACACCATGATTCGTCATTTTAACTACTTATAGTCATACTGGACCTCCTTGTATAACTCCAGGTGGAGTCATTATAGCTACTTATAGTCATACTGGACCTCCTTGTATAACACCATGATTGGTCATTATAACTACTTATAGTCATACTGGACCTCCTTGTATAACACCATGATTGGTCATTATAACTACTTATAGTCATACTGGACCTCCTTGTATAACACCAGGTGGAGTCATTATAGCTACTTATAGTCATACTGGACCTCCTTGTATAACACCAGGTGGAGTCATTATAACTACTTATAGTCATACTGGACCTCCTTGTATAACACCAGGTGGAGTCATTATAACTACTTATAGTCATACTGGACCTCCTTGTATAACACCAGTTGCAGTCATTATAACTACTTATAGTCATACTGGACCTCCTTGTATAACACCATGATTGATCATTATAACTACTTATAGTCATACCGGACCTCCTTGTATAACACCAGGTGGAGTCATTATAGCTACTTATAGTCATACTGGACCTCCTTGTATAACACCAGGTGGAGTCATTATAGCTACTTATAGTCATACTGGACCTCCTTGTATAACACCAGGTGGAGTCATTATAACTACTTATAGTCATACTGGACCTCCTTGTATAACACCATAATTGGTCATTATAACTACTTTTAGTCATACTGGACCTCCCTGTATAACACCATGATTGGTCATTATAACTACTTATAGACATACTGGACCTCCTTGTAAAACACCATGATTGATCATTATAGCTACTTATAGTCATACTGGACCTCTTTGTATAACACCATGATTGGTCATTATAGCTACTTATAGTCATACTGGACCTCCTTGTATGTATAACACCAGGTGGAGTCATTATAGCTACTTACAGTCATACTGGACCTCCTTGTATAACACTAGGTGGAGTCATTATAGCTACTTATAGTCATACTGGACCTCCTTGTATAACACCAGGTGGAGTCATTATAACTACTTATAGTCATACTGGACCTCCTTGTATAACACCAGTTGGAGTCATTATAACTGCATATAGTCATACTGGACCTCCTTGTATAACACCATGATTGGTCATTATAACTACTTATAGTCATACTGGACCTCCTTGTATAACACCAGGTGGAGTCATTATAGCTACTTATAGTCATACTGGACCTCCTTGTATAACACCAGGTGGAGTCATTATAGCTACTTATAGTCATACTGGACCTCCTTGTATAACACCAGTTGCAGTCATTATAACTACTTATAGTCATACTGGACCTCCTTGTATAACACCATGATTGGTCATTATAACTACTTATAGTCATACTGGACCTCCTTGTATAACACCATGATTGGTCATTATAACTACTTATAGTCATACTGGACCTCCTTGTATAACACCATGATTGGTCATTATAACTACTTATAGTCATACTGGACCTCCTTCTATAACACCAGGTGGAGTCATTATAGCTACTTATAGTCATACTGGACCTCCCTGTGTAACACTAGGTGAAGTCATAATAGCTACTTATAGTCATACTGGACCTCCTTGTATAACACCATGATTGGTCATTATAGCTACTTATAGTCATACTGGACCTCCTTGTATAACACCAGGTGGAGTCATTATAGCTACTTATAGTCATACTGGACCTCCTTGTATAACACCAGGTGGAGTCATTATAGCTACTTATAGTCATACTGGACCTCCTTGTATAACACCAGGTGGAGTCATTATAGCTACTTATAGTCATACTGGACCTCCTTGTATAACACCATGATTGGTCATTATAAC